ATGCTGACGTCAACCTTTCCGTAACTGCCCTTTGCCTTGACAGTGAAACAGAGCACCACTTGAGCCCTGGAGATTCCAAGAAAATGACCTGCACCTTTTGTGCACCCGGCTTGGCCACAGGGGAGTCGGCATGGTTGGCCTTGCCCAGATTCTTTGCAACTCACTGGTGTGAAAAAAAGCCTGTATTTGGAAAATAGGTGGTGAGGGAGCCAGAAAGTTGGAAAGTGATGGGAATTGGGCTCTCTTGGGTTCCACGCCTCCTCCAGGAGCTGCTCCAGTTCCGTGAGAGGTGCTCGGGCTGGAACTTCCTGCAGAGTGTGGCAACACCCACTCACCCGCAGACCCTTCGGGTCTGGGAGGGGAGACAGCATTCAAAGGGTGCCTCAGCTCACTGCCTGCTCAGTTCTTCTGCGTGTTTATTTCTACAGTAGTGCCTTTTGTTGCTAAATTAATCTCAGGGAAGAAGGGTTGGGATTACAATATGAAGATGTGTACACCATATGATAAGGTACAAAGGAGGGAGCATCACAGAGAAAGTGACATTGGAGTTGAGCCCTGATTTGTGGAGGGGAGCTTCCTGGAAGGAAGGAAGGAAGGAAGGAAGGAAGGAAGGAAGGAAGGAAGGAAATAGTAATACTAATTATAGTAGCTAAGATTAATGTAACATTTACTATGGAACAGGTGGCATTCTAAGTGTTTTCCCATATCCATTCATCCAGTCCTTGTAGCAACTCTAGGAGGTAGGTGCTATTATTATTACCATTTTACAGATGAAGAAATTGAAGCACAGAGAGGTTAAGTAACTTCCTCTCAGTCACACAGCTAATAAGTGTCAGAGTCAGGTTTTGCACCCACTCCATCCATGGCCTGTGCTCTTAACTCCATCCAGGGAATTTGAGAATGGGCTGAATGGGGGGACATTCATTCAGGTCATGTGAACAGCCCTGGCTGTATGAAGCAGTTTGCTTAGAGAATTTGGTACGTTCCAGATGCTCTAGATTATAGGAAAAATGGTAGCATTTGGAAAAAGGTTACATACGTTTGAAAATTTGTAAGATTGTGATTTATAGGTCATGGCATAAGAAAATGCAGTATTTCTTCATTTAATGTCCAAAGCAAATGTAATTGAAATGATGTTAAAAAGGAACAAACAAAAACACCCAAATGACCAGAAAAAGGAAGAAGAAAAGAAAGTAATGCATCAAACATAAACAGTGAAAAAAAGTACATACAGAGAAGAGTAGAAAGACATATTTATGTTCTTTGGTATTTTCTAAAGTTTCTAATTTCATAGTCAGAAAATATGTATATATAAAATAAGTTTTCTTACCATAATAAAATATATATGTATATATGATATGTTTGTATATTATACACACACACATTTGTTGTTTTCAATTTTGAAAGGCCCAGATTGACAATTCTAGTAAAAATAACACATACTGGGACATGAAACATTCCAGAAGGGGGCTGAAAAACATTACCGCATATTACTCCAAATTATTATTCTCTGGTGCAAAAATTTATAAACTATAAGTTGGTGGAGTTGGTATTTTCAAAGTAAGTTAAATTGGGGTTCCGACTATTTATACTTAAGGCAGTCTTTTTAAAAAGGAAGAATTTTAAATGCTTTAAGTAAAATTCCTCCGTCTTCATAAAGAGATGCTTTTATTAAAAGCTTGAAAATGTGTGCTCACAGTCAAAGGAGCAGGCAGGGCTATTTTAGAGGAGTTTCACGGGAAAGAGAAATTGAGGTGCCTTGTCCCCTGGACCCTCTCTGAGGGCACAAACAAGTAAGCTGTGAGACTGTTCCAGAATAATGCATGCGACTTGATTGCTGGAATGGTTCCTGGGTTTTTGTTATTCTATTGATGTTTTCCCAATGTCAGGGTCCCAATGAAATCTCTTTCAAGCAGATCACACGTGTCCTGTCAGAGACGGCATCCGCTAAGAGCAGCTCTCATCATGGACATCCCAGGCTTGGGGGCGCGGGGGCGCTTTCACTACGATCCTCTCACCCAGGGAAGGAGACAAGAAGGGCAGGCAGAGCGAAGGGGAGGCTCCTGAGTCCGTCTTTAAAATGCAGGCAAGGCCCAGCCTTCTACTGGGAATTCACTCCTTTCTTTCCAGTCTGAATGTTGTCAGCATCACCCCAAAGTGCCTTCAGGGCAGGGATGGCTCACACACTGAAGTCAGTGACATCAGGTCCAAAGCAGGAAATGACATGCGGGGGCGGGAGGATGTTGGGACCCCTCCCCCCTACCCTGGTGAACAGCCAGAGAGCTGCTCCTTTTTGGACAGGAGGGTCTTGCGGGGGTGGGGGAACCACCTTTCCCCAAAGCTTGCCAAAAGCCTATTCCAGGGGAGAGGGGAGGATGCGGCGGCCCCATTCCCTCCTGTTCCCTTCCCCAGGGCGGGGGTGGGGGGGTGGGGGTGGGGACGGGTTTCCCTAGACCCTTGCTGTGTGACAGCATGCTGGTGCCGCCTGCCCAAATGGAGGAGAGTAAGAGCTCACAGCCGTCGGATGAGTCACCTTAGGCTGGGCAGGCATTGTTTAAAAATCTGCCTGTGTGCCTCTTTGATTATATTCCAACGGACAACAGGGGCGGGTACTGCGGGGGGGCGGGGGGAGCGAGCAAATGAGAAAGCAGGCCGGTGCAGACTGGGTGGAGGGAGGAGACAGCCTCGGCAAGGGCATGTGCTGCCAGTAACCCACGGGCAGCCCTCCTGTGCCCAGGCCTGCTGTAATCAATGCTGTCATTGATTTATCGACTGCATAGGTACTAGACGTCCAGTTCACATTGTCTCTTAGACTCACAACGTAACAAAACCAGATTTCCACGCTAACAGAGGCTCAGAGAGGGTAGGTGACTTACTTAGCGACCCAACCAGCAGATGGTGCCCAAGCAGAGTGGGCACCATCCATGAGGGTGATCTTTCCCTTCCACAGGTAGGGAGATGCCCACCTGTTAGGGTCCCATGTCTCCAATATCGTCCCTTCCAGGTCACATCTTCTGTGCCTACTTGGAAACAATGAAGACCAAGAAGCAATTACCTCCAGAAAATCTTTATTGGCACTGTGTTATCCGTGAAGTTACCCGGAGCAGGGCCATTCTCTGGAAGGGAACTGGAAGGCTCCATCTGCTCATGAACAGCCCAAGAAATGGGAACTGAAGGTAGAGATGGGGAGAAGGTGGAGGCCAAACCCTCGGAACGTGGGAACAGCATCAGTGGGAATAGACTGTGCCCTGGGGGCCCAGCTGCATGGGGAGGGGAGAGAGGAGGAGAGAGCCAGGAAACCCACACGCCCCTGCCCTCTCCCCGGGGCACCAGGCACCTGATCAGTGCTGAGAGGACCCCCAGAGGACTGGCTCCCTCAGGCAGGCGTGATGAAGCCATGACGTTGCCCACCTCTGACAGATGCCCACTATTAACACAGCAAGCAGGCTTCATACTTATAACAACAGCATCACCTTGGGTTTTATGGGGGCATTTTTGCTCCATAAACTTGACCTGCTTTCATATAGAGCTTCTCATTTCCTACTCACAAAGCTGGCTGCAGGGCACCTATAATTATCGTCATTTTATAGTTGGAGAAACTGGCCCCAGAGAGGAAAAGGAATATGTGCGGGCAACAAAAACAGTCCCCAGGTCCCCGCTCACCTAGCCCAACGTTCAGGATCATCTTTGAGAACAATCATGATTGGGTGTCACCTCACGCTGACCAAGCCTTTAAAACTCACCTGGGCTTTGTCTTTGTAGAAGGAATCCAGATGCCTTCACTTACTAGCTTTGTAGCTAGTCAGCTCTTTGAGCCTCCGTTTCCGAGCTGTGAAATAGGGATAGTAATTATGTATACTCTAGAGCAGAGCTGTTCAATGGAAATACAATGTGAGTCACATAGGCAAGAAAATTTTCCAGTAGTCACTACTAGTGTAGTAGTCATTTAAAAAGGTAAAAAAAAAAAAAAAAGTGAAATTAATTTTAAAAATCTATCGAAAATATTATTTTGATATGTAATCAATATACAAAATTAGTAATGGAATATTTTACAGCCATTTAACTTACTGAGTCCATGCAATCCAGTGGCTCTTTTACACTTACAGCACATCTCAATTCAGACTACCCACATTTCAAGTGTTCAGTAGTCACATGTGGCTAGTGGCCTTTGGACAGGACTGTGCGGCTCTCTAGGTGGCAGCGAGGATTAGGTGACATATTGAATGTAAGGTATGGGTACCTCGGGGCTGATGTGCGGCTGTTACATCCTCTCGGACACACACGTACGCATGCAGACTGCTTCACATTTAGATGGCCTTTACAAAGACCCAAGAGCCCAATGCAGACATGAGACAAATCCAGCACCTTCCAGACGGACCATCTTCCTCACAAGTAGAAGTAAAAGCCGCCCACTCGCCCCATTCTCTCCTCCAACACAGTTCCCAGCTGCTCTCACCGGGGAACCCCCCACTCTTCCCCATGTTGCACCCCCCTCCCCGCGTTTAGACTGGCTGCTGCGAATTCCCACCCGGAATAGAAAGAGACCGTGGCCGGGAGTCCAGGACCCTGCCCTGGGAGGCAAGAAACCTGAGGAACAGCTGTAGAGCCCACTGACCATTCTAGGCTCCCCGCTCCAAGGGGGTACTGGCTGCCTCTCACCTTCCACCCGGAGGCGAGGACCCTCCCACCCGCGTTCCAGCCCCTGTCGGGTGTCCAGAGTGGAAGAGTGGGTGGGATGCGGTGTTACTGAAGGTGCCAGTGCAAGGGTGGGGCCGCGTCGGTGCCTCGAGCCGACCGCGGCGGGCTGGGCCGGAGGCCCCGACACCACCCTTGGCGGCCGGACGCCAGGGCCGGGAGCCCTCTCGCGAGCCAACAGGCGCGGAGCCGGGCCTGAGCGCCCCCGCACCTCGCACCGCGCCCCAGCTCCCCCTCGCGGTGCCGCAGTCTCCGCGGCACCGCCCCAGCCCCGCCCTCCATTACGTCATCGCGGGCCAGGCCGGGGAGGGGGCGACTGCCCCGGTATAAAAGGCGGCGCTGGGGGGGCGGCGACTGGTCTCTGCTGCGGAGTCCGCCGGTCGCGCCGAGCGCACAGCTCTGAGGGCCAACGCCACCACCCTCTCCGCAGCCGGCACCATGCGTGAGATCGTGCACATCCAGGCGGGCCAGTGCGGCAACCAGATCGGCGCCAAGGTGGGCGCGCCGCCGTGCAGGGTCCAGGGAGGGGGCGGCAGGCCCCGAGGGTGCCGACCCGGGTCGGGGGTGGCGGGACCCCAGGGTGCGGGCCAGGGCAGGGGCCGGGGGGAGGTGGCGGCCACCCGCCGGCCCCGGTGGCGCGTTCTCGGCGGGGCCGCCGGGCGGGGCCCAGGAAGCCACACAACCTGCCACGATGCTCGCGGCGACGCAGTGGGGTGTGCCTTTAATCAAGGCCCTGCGAGACGTGGTTGGCATTTTCGTGGGTGTATTACTCTCTAGAATTTGGATAGGGAGAGCGGTCATATTAATCCAGTGGCATCATGTGGAATTTAATTAGTGAATTTTCCTCTATACTTTGAATGAAAAAAATGCACTGTCATTGGGGTGACATGCTAGAGAGGCTTCTTGTTGGGTTTCAAAGACGGGGATTTAGAGAACTTCCCTAATAGGAGCACTCTCGACATGATGAGACATAGTGTCGGAGTCTGGCTTCCTGTCTGCGAGGCGGCAGGTGATGTCCCCGGCGCTGTGACTACCGACTGCAGTGGGCGAGGCAGGAGCCAGCCTGGTGCAAGGCTGTGGGCGGGCGCTTGGACAAGGACGTGGTCTCTTTCACAACCGCCATATTGCCCACCCCAACCTCCCCGCCCCCTTTCCTGCTGCAAATTCACAATGGAGCCTGTGCCCTCACCGTGCCCAGCTCTACCCACTGTCCCCGGTTGAGCTCCCAGACTCCTCCTGCCTGCCCTTCCCCACCCACCCCTGCCGTGGGCAGGGGCGGCAGGCCCTCTGGATGTCAGTGGCCTAAAACTGCTCTGCCTGGAGGGCTGGGTGGGGTTTGCACCAGGAGACCTTGATCCCTGCAGGCAGTTGAGGGGTGGGGTCCAAGTGGTCCTTGGTCCTGGCAGGACCCACCCATCCGCTGGGATGCAGTGACATTCAGCCCTGCCTGGGGGTGACGGCCCCCCCAACCTCCATGGCTTTCCCTAGAAGGGCATCGCTGTGCCCACCCTCCTCGTTCAGTGCCCTTCCCAGCTTTTCAGTCTGTCGCCATCATATGGCCGATGCTCTGCGGATTTCCAAGCCCCTCTGCAGCAGCCCCTGGAGGAATGGGGGGTGCAGCTCTAGGACTCCTTCACTGGCTGACCACAGTGGCCGCTGTTCCGAGCACATGAGAGGGAGAAAAGAGCCATCCTTAACCCATATTTAGGATGCCAGCCCATCATGTGATTTTTTTTTTTCCCCCAGTTTTGGGAGGTCATCAGTGATGAGCATGGGATCGACCCCACTGGCAGTTACCATGGAGACAGTGACTTGCAGCTGGAGAGAATCAACGTGTACTACAATGAAGCTGCTGGTGAGTACTTGAATGTTTTTGCCCAGTCAACCTTGCTTTGCATACTGTGGCAGATGGAACGTACTAGGACAGACAAATGACAAAGATGTGCTTCTTGCATTCGTTTTAAATGTCAGCTGCTAAAAACGACACGTTCTGTAGCTCCTCACGACTCCTGCACGTTGGCCATGACTAAGCATGCCGTTATCTCCTCTTCTGAGGCAGAAAACACCTCTA